ACTCTCCCAGTTTCGTCACATATGATTATGATTTTTCCGTTACGTTCTACAGAGCGATGGGAATTGCAGGAAAAAGGAAGCAAAGGAAAGGGAAACATTGTAAGACAGAAGGAATGGGTGTCTTGCAAGGGGACCACGATGTTTGCGGGATAGTCTTGGATGGAAACCGAGTACTCGTGCTATTCTTCGAGGTCAAAAGCAGAGGGAAAACGGAGAGCAAATACCCCTTGAAAAATTTACTAGGAAAAGCAGAAGATCAATTGAAAAAAAGCAAACACGTATTCCAACAACTGTTCGGATCGACTGCCTTTTCCCACACTCTCATCTCTTGCTTCGTCGCTTTCCCGTTTCTGTCACGAACGAACGTCAAAAAGGAATTGAGCTGCTGCCATGAGAACATTCTCACGAGTGAAGACGTAGAGACTCCTCGTGCCTTCTCGGATTTCCTTCAACGGCATGAAATCGCTCTCACAAGGAATAATATACCAGATCTAGCAGCCACGGAGTGCTACTTGGATGTGATGAGAACATATGTGGCAGCCTCTGCATCTGTGGACAAAATGCCCAGAACTGCGAAGGATCTCCACGAGAAGATCGACGAGGGGATGCAGAGAGCCTTGGTTCTTCTCACTCCTCATCAGAAGCAGATTTTGAATGAGGACCGATCTATTCTTTTCCTGGCTGGGGGGCAAGGAACGGGGAAGACCTATCTGCTCCTCGAGAGAGCTCAGCAATTGACAGAGAGAGGAGAATCAGTCCTGATCGTGAACATGTCAGAAGGAGAGCTGACTCAGAACATGAGAGATTGGCGTGAGTCACATGAGTTCAAGGGCAATATAACAATTATAAATGCTACCGAATTTTTAAGCAATGATCAACGAGGACTTGATCTACTTCTTGAGAAGGTCAATGATAACGAACAAAGCCATATTCTGATAGACGAAATGGAAATCAATCTTGGCATGGACGGAAGGAATTCGGTGGAGATTGGACGAAAATGGATGGAATTTATTGAAGGAAGAGTATGCAAAAGCCTTTGGATCGCTTGGCGTCCCAGTGACACCAATTACCCCGATTCTCTTGATATTGAGAGAGTCATGGATTTCTTGGGGCAGGAAAAAGTGGAAATGCTCAAGGAAATAAAAAGAAGCACGAAGGAGCTCGGGGAGTTTGTGGTAGAAGTGACTCGATTCATTCAAAAGAGGTTCCCTTGCTTCACTGACCTCCCGATGCAAGGTCTGGAATATGGCGTCCATCGCGCAGACGATCCGGGTGAAGAAAAACAAATACCCAGAGTTGTCTTTGTCCAAGCTCCTCCGACTGACAATCAGGTTTACCGATGGGCATCACAGGCTGTCATGACGATTCAATCGTGGATGCCAGATTCCAGACCTTTCACCATCATCACCAGGACTGACGAGGAAAGGAATGTGCTGGTGCGGGAACTTGGAAATCGACTAGGGCAAGAAGTTGCCTTCCTTGACTCGAAAGGGACACTTCGAGGACACCCCCAACCCCGATTCCTCGTCTTCTATCAAGAGCAGGTGACTGGGATGTCATTCCAGAATCTCATTATCTTGGATGATGGAAGAGCCTACTATCGCTCTTGGTCTCGAATGCTGGGGATGGCCCGTGGATCCCTCCACGTGATCACCACAGACCCACTGCCTTCCGGTCACTGGGAAGAACCTGCACGAATGGGACTCATCTCCGCCTGCTCTCTCAGAAAACCTAAGCAATCATCTTCGGGTGTAACTGAGGATTTTCTGAACGAGACTTCTCTCGCGAAGATCTCATGGACCACTCTCTTGGAATATGACTCTTCCCGTGCACCCACTGTCGAAATCGAGGAAAAGAAGGTTGAGCTACTCTTCGGACCGAATCGTTCTGGCAAGACTACATTTCTCATCAATAAATTGAAGAGGGAGGCCGATCAGGAGGACGAGAAAATGAGGGAGTCTAATACAACTGCATCGATAGTGAAGAAACTATTCGTACGGAAGAAAGAAAAACCAAAGGGATCGTTAAAACCATCGATTATATTTGTGGACTGCACCAGATGGTTAAGGAATGCCTATCCTCCAAGCCTCTCTTTGCTGAACGTGAAAGAGAGAATGAAAAAGGAGAACAAGTTGAACTTGGTAGAGGTTTTCGACGTCCACGACCTCATCCAGCAGCATGGGCTGGGGGTAAATGTCGATGTTTCACCCCAAGTCATGAAAGAACTTGTGGTGAAAATGCTTGAGAAAGGCAAGAACGAAGGAAAAAGACTCCATGTAGCCTTCGACGATGTGCCCATTCATGGATATGTTATGTCTGGAAACACGGAGAGTTTGAGGGTGGAATGGGAGAGGATTCTCTCCGCATTCTCGTCCCATGGCTCTCTTGCTTCTCTAACCATTGCCTTTCTTCCCTACATCGTGTATGCCAGGAACACCTTCGACGTGAAGGAGTTCACGAAGGGATTTCAACTCTCCTCACAAATAAGTAAGATCCCAACTTCTCGTGACATGGACAGGCACCACGCAATGAAGCTGTCCAATATCCAACGATCGCTGCATAACATTTATATTCCGACGAGTACTTCCGTGTGGACTTGTTTGCAACTGCACACATGAAACAGACGTCGTCTGAGAGTTAACGAATGATTATAGCATTCGTGTTGGACGAGGAGAGGATGTGAACACACTATGTCCGATCTCGGAGTTGAATGTCTGTTATCAATTGACACCTGAATTGTTCTTGTTAGCAGTTGAAGTCCGATTTTTAACCACTGTATGTATCCGATGCATTAACTCCAAAACATCTGGTGCAAGAGAGGAAGAATGTGTTGAGGTTGGATGAAATGTGCCTTCTAGCATTCGCTTACGGTGGATATCCTTGGAGCGTGTTCCCCATGAAGGAAAAAGCACGCCTTTCTTTGGGAGCTTGGATGGTCTTCCAAGAATCCCACGTTTGCTCACAGCATTATGAAATGATCGTGAGAAAAATTGGATTCATGAAAGCGAAATCCCGATACTCCTGCTTTGAACTTTCAGACGGCCTACACTGTAAACAACAACAAAAAAACGTTCTGAAAATTCCGAGTGAGGTAGAGAGGCCAGACAGTGCGGAACTGAGTATTCCGGCATGAATGCGAGAAAAGATTCCATGGAATTCAAGGAAATTTAAATTCCAGTTGCTTTCGATTTTTCTAACGTTCATTCTTGAAACGGGCTGTTCCTGTGAAAGGTCAAGGCCTGCGCGGGTTTGCTTGACGTCATGCAGGGGGCAGTTGGGAAACGCGCACGAGAAGGCGCGAGCAAAGGCGCGTTTTTGATGGTGCTCAGGCGGTATGGATTGAATTAATAATGGATTCGCGAAGAAATTGGGATTTCCTTGAGCATGGTTGGATGAGTTCATGGGTGTGGGGATTGAGTGCACAGAGGAGTTTCCTGTGGTCTTGGGGGGTGTTTTGGAATGGGCAGGTGATAGATACGGCGAGTAAATGTGTGAGAGGATGGATGCGGAGGGGAGCGCGAGGGACTGGCAGTTGGTAGGCGTAGGGGGGAAGAAGTCCGCGAGGTGGCAGGGGGAGGTGGAGGTGTGTGAGGGGGAGGGGAGTAAGAGAGGCCTGCCGCCTGGAACGAGGTGAGGGGTTGGAGCAAACGGAAGAAGAGGGGAAGGAGGGGGGGGGAGAGGTCTTCTACCAGGACCTCTTTTACACCGGCATGGTGCCGTACGAAAAGAGGGGGGATGTTAGTATAGGGGCGGGAGTACAGATGCAGGAGGATATTGGGGAGAATGCAGGAGAGGAGAGTAAAGCGGAAGACAAATTAGAAACAAGGAAAAATATAAATAATAAATCAGGTGCGACTCCACTAACGGAGATAGACTAGAAATATGAATGAATCTCCTTTTCTTGCAGTCTGCTATATGAAGCCTGTTTCAATGATTAATTGTTTTCAACATTCTATCACCTTTTGGACTGAAAATAAATCCTGCGTTAGGCAAGCAAGTAATTTTACTCAGGGATCATCCAGTGGGATGATCCCTGACGCCATTTCTACTCACTCGTACGATCAGCGTTTCCGAAACTTCACAGTATCTATTCAGCTCACCGGACGCAAGTGAGGAAGAGAATTTTGAGCTCCGTCTAACTAGTTTTCTTAGCTGTCCCCTTCCAGTTCCTCTTCCTCTTCTCATGAAGCAAACTCAATCAGTTAAGAAGAGGCGGTTTGGACTTCAAGAGACAAGAATCTCACGGCCTTCTTACGGCCACGCGATCAGATGAGGCTTTGTAATATTCTTCTCAGGCGAACTCCGTTAGCATACTCAAAATATGGCGACTTTTCCAAATATCGGTAAACCGCTGATACTCGATTGCCGATGCGGAGTCTTCTCTTTCATCGCATCTACGTCATGCCCCTCACGCATTTATTTTCCCGCTCCTTATTTTCATAATAAATTCGTTGATCCAAATCCATTCCTATGAACCATATGCAATGGTGTCCTGTCCGTTTTAATTTTTAAATCGGACATACGGTAACTTCAATTTCACTATATCTGATTTTGGTATGCTGAGTCCATGATTCTTCATCCTTCAACTCAAATTCTAAATCCGAAACTAAAACATCGTAGCCTCTCCTCTTCCGTCGCGTCTCAGTTCCTATGAACCTTGCTTTATGCAAATGCTTTGGTTTAGTTTCCTCACTATTCCGTTTGGAAAGTTATCTATAACGTTGTAAAACGTTATAACTGAACCAGACCTCATAAAATGCAAAATTGGAATGCATTGGAACGGAGCTTTCTTCAAGACGATGCGTCATACCCGGAAGGAACGTCTTCGATACCGTTTGAAGTCCTTTCTTTTCTGGCTTTCCCCTTGCCCCCTTTTGGAAAAATCGGACATTCCCCTCGGTTCCTCGCTTACATTTCTTTTTATTTTTGTTTCGCCTGTCAGAAGTTTTCATACGAACCGTCTGCAATTCAGTACTGGATGCGCACTTGCAATCTTTCTCATGGGTCAGAGTGTCAGTTCCCGACTTTTACTCCTCTAGCAATTCCAGTTTGTGAATGCAGAGATATGTTCTCCTCTCTTTCACTGCAGCTTTTCTTCATTCCAAGCTCCTCAACGTATATGGACAAGTATTTTGAAACAAAGGTAATCGGTCCAGCGATGCTGATGACTTTTCCAAAGAATATCTAACCAATTATTCATTGAACTCTTACGAAATTCTCAAAATGTTTCTCCATGGAGCGATAATGGAATCGGGAGGCCTCCATAAAAGGAAGGCCCATTTCCATTATTGGGATTTATTACATGCTTATTATGGGGATAAATGGGACACCCGACCCGAAACTCACCCAAATATATTCGTGAAATCGGAAAATGGTAGAGAATGAGGTACGTTGGACAGCTTGGACCCCATGTGGCAATTCAGCGGAACAATACTTTGAAATCTTCAAACGGTGACAAGAATGTCTTACGAAATTTTTCGAAACTGAACGACCGAAAATTCACACATGAGAAGGCGGAGAATTTGCGAATATGAGTCGTCTCTTCATCAAAACGTCTTTGTAAAATTTCCTTCAACACACAAATAAAACATTATTGAGCTCAGTTAACAACCTACTAAAGAATGCCTTACTTTGCAAGTCATGTTCCCCCGTTTCCCGTCCAACAGAGGTGAGGATTCTGAAGGGATGCTGGGATGTGGGTTTCCCCCATCTCCTTCATCACGTCCTCTCACACGAATCCCCCCTTGAGCTCCAGGTAAAGCCGGGGACCCTGAACACTCGGCCGCAGCCTTCTTCCCTCGTCTTCGGAGAGAAACCTGCACTCGTGACCCCTCCTGCTGGGTTGCACTACCATGGAGGATGGAAGTGCATCGGTGGTCGGGGAAGAGGATGCATCGCCGTCACCGCTGCTGCGTTATTCCATCAATCCCAATCTCAAGTATGTTCCATCCGCATTTCTTGTATCCATCTCGTGCCACAGCATCGCCCATAGACCTCCCGATCCCAGAAAAAGGAACGATGCAACATACATCTGTATCGTGTAAACGTGGGCTGGCCATCTTGGCTTCTCCTGGAAGCTCTCGGCTCTTGCTCTTGGAAGCTCTTGGAAGTTCTCAACAGTACTCTCGATGCAACTCACTCTGGTCGCTCGATCCGATGCCTCCTCTTTCTGCTCTCGCGCGGTCTTTTATCGTCATTCACTCCTGGACGTGCGTGCCTGAATCTCTGCTAAACCCCACTATCAAGAAGTTTCGTGAAAGGTACCTCATATACAGCATTAAAAAAATGTTCGCTTCATTCAAGTGAATGAAGCGAACCCCTTGCATTCCCCTTGCACTCGGAAAGGAGTGAGGGACGAAAGGGAGTCTCCGTCGTTTTCCGAATGGGGCAATTCAGACGAATTAAACCATTGAATCGGGTTACAAATTTACAGAGAGCTCGCATCTCCGTCAAGTAAATGGTCATTTTTGCTCACAGGAAAACTTTGTGGTGCTAGTCTCGGACGAAGAGATACAGAAGACCTTCACAAAAGCTCTGGAATTGATGACTTCGGCGAGCAAGTCAGCAGCCAGGGAACCACCACCGATCTATCAAGTGAAGGATTTCCGTGGCTGTGAATATCCAGGCGTGATGTGTGTAGGGGTTGAAGACTCATGGATGGTGGAAGGGATCTCCCGAGCAATCCAGTCCCTCTTCATTGTCGACGGGGGAACTTCTGCTGCAGCACGGAGCAGGATGGGCCTCTGGACGGAGATGGAACGAAGAGGAAAACTTCTCCATCGCCCTTTAACATCGCCCAAAGCCCTTGACTCCCTCTCTGATGACGACTGGAAGGCATTGAATCAAACGAGCCTCTTTCTAAAGGTACAATATCAATTCTTGTGGCCATTATTCACCTCAGTCCCATACCTCTTTTCTACTATGTGCTTTCTCTTCTAAGGAAAAGTGATATGGAATCACATCGTGCTTTCCACTTTCTAGATTCCTAAGTATACAGCGACGGATGAAGATGCAGTGGGAAAGAATTCTTATCAAGAAGGTAATTCCAATTCATCATTCAACTTCCTGAACTGCCATGGAAACATCATTAGACTTTGTTCATAGCGCAAAAAAAGGAACTCTTCTGTTCAGTCGAGAACGAGAACTTCAGTAATGAACTGCTCATGCTCACTAATTAACCATATTGTTGAGGCCTGTATTATTTCAACGTTGAACCATCATAGATTCAAAATATCTTCAATGTTGAAGAAAATTAATTTTCAATATGGTGTAAAAGTTGAAAAGAAAATGTTGAAGCAACGTTGCAATGTTTCTACTGAACATTATATTAATGTTGATAAACTGTTGATATCAACCTTGCCTCAAGGTTGATGAAAACGGGATATAGAATAAATAAATATAGAATAAATGGTGACAGACCAACAAGGTTTCAACGTTAGCTGCGCTGACTCAATAACGTTGAATCGATGTTGATTAACCGCGATTGTTCTACTCTGGAAGTTATATTACTTCGGAAAAAGTAGATTGGCATTTTCAGTGTCAATCATACTTTCGATCTTGAAATAATAAAAGTGTATTCACAATCATAAAAGGACAGCTTATGCAAGCAATACTCTGTCTTAACACCAAAACAAGTGAGGAATGGCTTTTGAGAGCTCCCGAACAGAAATGAAGCTCACATCTATTACAACTTAAAAGAGGACCAACAGACGCGTCTATTGAACATGAATCAGGGACTCAGGTCACATACTCCATTCTGAAAGGGTGGAATACTTTGGCCATGACATCAAGGAGCATGATTAGAGGGAAATTTTAAGAAACGTCTACATCCATGAGAATTTAGTAAGAGGTGGACATCAGGAGATGTAAAAATGTTTTCTTAGATAAACAAATTTTGAGGAGGGGGGGGGGGTTAGTGAGGGGACTCACACGGGCCAGTTGAAGAGACCGGCATGGTCCATTTCGCTTGCATATCCTTTCCCCAAAAAATAACCAAATCACGTCAGGTTCGGGGGAAAAAAAAAAACTTTTTTTCCTTCACTGGTTCATATAAATCTCTTTTATCATGTGGTATGACAATTCCTTATTATTATTATTATTATTTTTAGAGGCTGACAGTTCCTTTGTATTAAAAAAATCTGCCAATATCTCATGAGCTTGGTGCAATTTTTCATACTTGAGAAAGCAGATGAAAAAAAATTTTCTTTCAAATTCGTGCCAGCAAACCCTAAGTCCTTGAAGCTCGTGCTCAAAATATTTGTCTTCTGCACAAACCCCAGCTCTATTCCTCAGCTGACGGTGAACCCATTCTTCTCATTCGAGCGTGACCTGCCACTACCGCATTCATTCAACAATTTTTTTTTAAACAACTGCGATGTTGACAATTATTTTAATAGAAATCCTTAATGAGTCGATCATTACTGCAGCCCCTCGTCTCGCAAACCTTTCCTCAAGAGTTTCTCATTTTCCCTGAATCCTATGACCTTCTTCGCAAGTTCTAATACTGCGAGTCGTGAAAAAAACGTGACGAATTCCTCGTTTTTCGTTTTCGTCATACTAACGAAAATCGTGTGCTTTTTCATCGATGCCGTTTTCCTACTAATTTTCGTTGACGAAAACAGAGATAGGGGGAAAGCCACCTGACGTCGTGTCCACCTGTTTCCAAATCCATTTTGGAGCTGACATCCACTCGGTTGGAAACCCATCGTCTGCCGTTCACCAGCGGTGGATGCAGGCAGACATTTTGAAGGAAAAGCAGCCATCATCCTTCCTCATCTTTTTCGATCCCATCACTGCAGGACGTGTTCTTCACGCTTCTAAACGATGTTCATTTAATGTGGAGCAGAACTTTTCTTTTAAGCATATCTTGCTTATTGTTTGGTGGTGGAGTCAGCGGGCAAGCCATCTGTCATTCGCTCCAAGAATCGAGGGTTCCGGGTAACGAGGCAAGATGACGCAAAAATCGGTGATATTTCCAGCCGTTTCTGACTCACACTCATCCCGGAAATCCCCTCGAACGATCGAGACATCGCGATGGTAAAAGAATGTGAAATTTCATTCCCAAGAAGGAAGCCTATTTCTCATAATTTCTCAATCGCAGATAAGCGAAATGAAGAGCATGAGGGATTCTTCTCCCTCTTCCAAAAGGAACTTCTCTGAAACGATGTCTCCCCGACTGCAAGGAGATGAGATATATCACCTAGATGCCAGCGGTCCACGCCAAATATGCAGGAATAATTTGTATACGTCCCTCGTTCATCCTCACACTCGCTATAAAAGGAGAGAGAGAAATTTGTGAGATGAAGTCGGGATCTTCTTCCAGCGCAATACACGTCATTTTCGTGGAGTAGGATACATTCCATAGTGGCATGTATTATTGGCACGTTGGATCTTTCCGTGAAAAAAAGGGCTAAAATGTTTAAAGTGAATATGGGCAGTGCCGTACCAAGGATACTGGCGCCCTGTGCTAAATATCAGTCCACCCCCCCCCCTCCCCTCTGTACCTCTTCAGCTTCCACAACACCAACAATACATTATGTATTTGTTTCCATGTTTGATTTAGTTAAGCTCAAGATGATACGCAATGTTTTAATGATTTATTTATATTCTGTAATAATCCGGCAGCCAATCGGCGCCCTGTACGGGGGCACCGCTCACACTCCCTTTGTTACGGCACTGAATGTGGGTACCAATACGTGTTGGAGCAATGAAAGCCGTGAGGGAATACGCGGCTGGAAAATGTCCGGAGAATACACGAAAAATTGCCTTCTTAAAGGGAAAAAACCGATTCCGATGAGAGAAATGTTTCTGCGCAAGAGCGAGAGGAGAAATGATTTCCGTTCGAAATCGGAATTCCCTTTTCCGCGTGTAAAACGGAAATTTTCTTTCTTACGCCTAAGTTACGATCGTCTCGAATCATTTTTTACGCTGTTGACGACACACAAAATGAATGAGGATGATGAGAACATTTCCTCCTCAAACCGAAGGAGACGAAATGAAATCGGTCGTTCCCGTCGACGGGAATCCATTCGGGAGGAAAGGGTCGACGGTCGCGACGACTAGATACCTGCCGAAGTCCTGCATGTATCAACTCGTTACGTTTAAAAACTCGAGAAGAGAAAACGGGGAGGGGCTTTTCGCGCATTCACCGGGTCGGCGAATGTGCGGTGCGGTGAGTCGAGATCGGCCTCCGAGTCCAAGTAGTCCACGGAGGGAGGATTCCGAGCCGGAACGTGAGGTGATCGCCGAGAGAAAGAGCTTAAGCCCCAATGACGACGACGGCGGGATCGGGCGAGGCGCCGTCGCGGCCGAGGAGCCGAGGAGTGCCGACGAATCCACGGAGTCGGAGTCCCGCAGAAGAGTTCCTTCGCCTTCCCACGAATTCACACGAGTCGTGGACATCGGGGACGGGGGAGAGGCGAGATCGTGAGGGCGAGGCGCAACCGGGACGAACACGACGCATCCATTCGCATGCGACGCCGCTTCCATCGATTCGAGCCCTCGACGAGACCACCCGGATCCTCCATTCCTGGACGTGGGAAATGCATACAAAAATTCTCACAGCTTTCACTGCATATTTATTCCACGACCGTTCTTAACGGAGAAAGGGATGTTTAAAAGAAAAGTGCGCATCCATCACGTATACGAACACGAACAGATTCCAAGTTGACGGGAGAGGCAAAAATGGGAGAGGATCGATGAATCCTGCCAAATGGAGAAATGTCGAAAAGGAAAAGAAGAGCAGATGACGGAATGGAGGAAAGAAGCGCGAGAATGCGACGAACTCGATGCGAGACCCCGAGACGTCGACGACGACCGGAGGCTTTCCCGAGTCGACGAGTCGGACGGAAGGAGTGTCGTCCGTCGAATCGGACGTCCAGGCCAGCGACGGGTGAAAGGGTCCTCGCGTTCCGGTCGACTTCCCGTATCTCTCGCAAGTGTAGGCTTCTTCCCGTAAAAGACCGTTCCCGTGAGGAACGGCGAGACGAGAGATCGGGATCGTTGATGGTCGCGATCCCGTGGATCCCTCCATGGTCGTACGGAGAGAGGACGAGGATGGACTCCCGGGAAGAGAAAGGAAGAGACGAAGGAAATCCCTTGGGAAGAGGTCCAGCGGTCAGATGTCGTGCCCATCCGTTTCTTTTCGTTCCTCTCCGTTCCCAGCTCCTTTTTCCAAGGCTTCCCTTCTCGGACGGAGGCGAAAGAATGCGTGGAGAAGACGAAGGAAAAACGTGAGATGCGGATCCGGTCTTTCTTCGAGTGGAGTCGGGCGAGAAAAACGGAACGGACGAAAGAAAATTACAAAAACGGAACGAGCCATCGGTAAAAAAAATATATAAAAAAATGTCTCCAGATTTTTGACGAGCTTGCCTTGGATTGCGGATCTCCACGGAGGAAAGAGGTCGTTCGTGAGAGGATCTCCCGGAACTGTGCTTTTTTTCTCGGCGGTTCGAGAATACCGTCGTGACACACCACCATTCCGATCCCTAATTCCTCCTCGTTTCCCTTGAAAATATGAAAAAAAAGAGATTCCTTCTCTCTTTTCTCCTCTCCTCCTCCATTCCCGTTTGGTTCCTTAACTCGGATTTCGTTTCCCTTGCAGAGGCAACAAGGATTTTCGCCATGGGGAAAGGTGAAGACGGGCGAGGGGGGATGTGGGAAGTCCAACAGAAAACTCTCTGGGTCCAGGAAGGGTCTTCCTCATCGGAAGTGTTCCTCGCCCACTCTGGGATGCTAATCCACGGGAAAGGGGGGGAAGTCCGGATCCTTCATCTGGAGGGGAAGGATCCACGCGAGGCCCCTCACGGATGGGACCACAGACTCCGCATCCCCTCTTCTTTCGTCGTCGATCGGACGACGGGGGTGGGGATCCGGGACTCTCTCTTTCTCGCGGGAGGGGAGAGAAATCCCCTTGAAGGACGACGACTGGATCTCCATCGTGACACATGGATGGATCTCCCGAAGATGATGGAGGGGAGAGAGTTAGCAGCTTCGGTGATGTGTGACCCTCACACCATCCTCGTCTTGGGGGGATGGAGCCCCGAAAAAGGGAACCAACTCTCCAGCTGCGAATATTTAGACGTGAGAACAGGGGGGGGAGGGGGGAGGGGGTGGTCCCCCTTTCCCCGTGACATCCCCCTTCCCGTCTCTTCTCACGCAGTGACCCTCTACGATGATCATGTATACATCTCGGGGGGATTTGACGGGAGGGAATCTCGGGGGGAAGTGTGGAAGTGCAGGGTGAATGGGGAAGGGTCTTGGGAAACTCTTCCCGATTTACGAGAAAACAGACATCATCATGGGATGATGGGATTGTCCTCAGGGGGACTCCAAGTCATCGGCGGGAGACATGTAAGGGTGGGGGAAGAGGATCGGGATGTCTTCTCTCTGGAGACGTTGACCCTGGATGGGAGAAGAGAATGGGAGACGGAATACAAACTTCCCTTTCATAGAGTGTGGAAGGCGAGTTGGATGAAGGAAGTCAGTTGAGCGAGATTCCCCTCCCCTCGCTTCAGGGTTTTCCCTCATTTCACTTTCACTTGGAGGAATCTCATGCGGGAATGGAGGAGGAAGGAAGAAGAAACTACGAAATCGGCATCTTTTACTCTCGTGTTTCATCCCAGGGTGCTTGAATAAAGCGAGGTTGGCCTTCCAGGAAGGGCGATGCTCCTCGGGCCTGCCCTTCCTCCCGCGAGATGGAGGAGAGGAAGGACGCGATCCTTCCTGGCCCGTTTCCGTGGGGCCCTTCATTCAAGATGCTCCCGAGGACTCTTCACTCTTGAATTGCATTCCGAGGACTCTTTCGATTCTTTTCAAGAGATAAAATTGTTCTGATCGCGAGATGACGTCATTAAATATTCGGCCATCTCGTCCTCCTTTGCGAACGCACGAGAATCGTACGTGGGAATCCACTGCTGCGAAGTCGGGGAGACGGTAAAGGCGCAACGGGATTTCCAGCGCTATCGATATATTTTTCTGATCGTAAGATGACATTCTACTTCAGATTCTAGATCGTTTTTCTGAAAGTATTCTCCCAACGGAACCGAGGGAATTCCGGAACGGAGAACCCTTCCCTTCCTCCCTTCCCTTCCATTCCCTTCCTTTCCCTTCCTTTCCCTTCCCTTCCGGCGACTAAACTTCAAACGGGGAAAATATCGATCATAACAGTAGCGGAGATTAGATGATGCGGCCGCATCATATCATCGAGGTGAGAATCTCATTATAAAAATGGAACAAACGGGGAAGCAAAGAATTTATTCTGCATCATTTTCTCACTTTTATCTGGTTCTTCCAATTACATATTTGCGCTTATCACTACCGGCGCGGTTCATCGAAAATGTGAAATACGGTGCCATTCCCTGAACATCGCAAAATTTACTGGCGACATCTATTTCATATTTCCACCAAAGATAAATCCATGAATAAATAAAATAAATTTAGGCACGTCGTACAAAAGAATGCGGTGACTCCATCGGATGAGAGAGACGGGAGATGGCCGGATTCCCGCTACGACCATTTCCGGACTCACGGATCATGCGGATGAAGACGGACGAGAGAAATGTTGGCCTCTGCGCCCGCACGTCGCCAAAACCCGCGAGGTTTTGCCGCCGGAATTCCGACAGTTACGTTCCACGAGCTTCCCGATTCACACATCTTGCCTAAATAGCACCAGATGGATTTTGTGAGCGAGGTCGTCTCCGTCCATTTTCTTCCATTTCTCCTGTCCTTAATGAAGCTTTTTTCGGCCGAATGTTTCCAGACGATGCGGAACGATGACGTCCACCGCATGCGTTTCCCGAAGTAACAGCTTCGTATCGTGCAAGAAATAACCGTGCCGCGCGGTCACGCATCACGTTAGCGTAACAACTTACGTTCTTCTTTGTATCGATGTACGTTAGATCGTCCGATCCTAAATGGTTTTACCCTCGAGTCTATTGGTAGGGGTTAATGATCCTGCTCGTCGCTGCTCTCTCTCCTTTCACACTTGCAGCTCATGTTGGCATTCACACTTTCCGAGGATTACCACCTTCCAAAATATATTCTATTGATGACGCGTATGGGTATGTCAAATAGAGAAATTCACGGGGATTCTTGGAATTTCACTGGATGGGTATATTTGAAAATAATACTCCAGTTCTAGGACTTTCACCTACATGAAGCATTTTTCTTCGATAAATGCGACCGTGCATGAAATAAACGACCATGGATGCGATGTGCGTTGTGAATATTCTGCACGTCGACTAGGGAGGAGTTAGTAGATTCTGTACTTCACTTTCTCATTGGACATTTTTGCTTCATCAAGTTTTCACAATTGGCCTAAACCAGAACAAGGCTACGTTTCAAGAGAACTTTTATTGCATCTTCAGATACAAACTCTTCTGCAAAGAATTACATTTCAGCATAAATATTCCAAGTGAGAAGGAAAACTGAGAAGGCTCGATGCTTGGACAATCACAAACAAGTTAAATAATTGCAACTCCATTTCAACGACATCGAGGAGATTCCAGAAATGATACTACTATGCTCAGGGAAATTCGAGTACCACATTTCACCCAAGTCCAAAACAAATGGAAATTTCTCATTTTCCATAAAAAATTTTTAAATCGATGGTCATGACTAAAAAAAATTAGTGGTTTGAAAGGGAGATGCTGAACCACCATCCTTTGCTCATCATTTCCAATGGAGAAATCTGAATGTCAAAATTTTTGACAATGGCAATACATAACAATACTAAAAAACAATGGCAGTCAATCAGGTGCCTTTATTGTCAGAATTAGTGAAAGATATTGAAAAGCATTCATTTCCAATTTATTAGACAATAACTAAGAGATGTTTATTTCAACCATTGTCTTCTGAAGACAGACGATCATACCAAATACCGTCATTATGCAATGCTCTTTAACAGAACCAAAAGAGTATCCTTGCATTTGAGTCACCCGGAATTCTGCCCATCAAATAAAATATTTTTTGCCCATTGCCAGATTAAGTACAATGACATCACAGTTCTCTTCTCCAAGATAGGAACAAAAAAATTCCTGTGAAAATTCAACTCCTCCAACAGGTGCTGAGCAATAGGGCAGTTAAACATCCCATTTAACTCATTCAAATGAGAACATATTGGTGATTCTAATTGCAACTCCATTTCAACGACATCGAGGAGATTCCAGAAATGATACTACTATGCTCAGGGAAATTCGAGTACCACATTTCACCCAAGTCCAAAACAAATGGAAATTTCTCATTTTCCATAAAAAAATTTTAAATCGATGGTCATGACTAAAAAAAATTAGTGTTTTGAAAGGGAGATGCTGAACCACCATCCTTTGCTCATCATTTACAATGGAGAAATCTGAATGTCAAAATTTTTGACAATGGCAATACATAACAATACTAAAAAACAATGGCAGTCAATCAGGTGGATTTATTATCAGAATTAGTGAAAGATATTGAAAATCATTAATTTCCAGTTTGATTAGACAATAACTGAGAGATTTTTATTTCAACCATTGTCTTCTGAAGACAGACAATCATACGAAATACCGTCATTATGCAATCCTCTTTAACAAAACCAAAAGAGTATCCTTGCATTTGAGTCACTCTGAATTCTGCCCATCACATAAAAGATTTTTTGGCCCATTGCCAGATTAAGTACAATGACATCGGTCAAGAGAAGAGGTTCTATCCTTGTTTTTTTAAGGACACTTTTAAGTTGAGGAGGTTGTCCACGACTCGTTATCCCGTCAATTTGTAGGGTAAATTGAGTAAGTTTACTCTTGTATAACCACTAAGTGAATGGAACAAGAGGAATTTCGTTTCCAAGCTGGAAGTCAGCTCTTCATGGCAAGGAATTGGATTTTTTTGTGCTGAATAAGCAGATATGAGATTCTGAATTTTAATTATTCTCTTTTTTTTCTTTTACTGAAAACCTGGATACTGAATCAACATTTTTAAAATCATTATAAGACCATAGCAATGGGTAAAACTTCTGAGCAGAAAGCCAGTTCATAAAAGCACCCAGTCCTTTTTGAACATTGAAAATAGTAGGAAGTCATCTGAGTTCATTAGGAAAAAACACAGGGCAACAGAACTATATTAATGTATGTGAAACATTTAAAAAAATGATCAGCTTCTCAGAGCACTGTTCAAAAGGATCAGACTATCACAGAGCTCAAATTTCAATGTCATGGTCCGCAATAATTGGTTGTAAAAAAAGGTACATACCTGAAAATCATGAAGAAAAATATGCTTGAATCACACAACATAAAAAATACATGAGTCAATATATCTGCAAAATCAATGAAAGGACACAGTCATCAAGGAAGAAAAAAAAAATGGTCAAGATGCAGGTACATCTTGAGAATCAGAGACTTGTCGCTTGCGCTTGCGGTACGTCTGTACCATGGAGGCAGTTTCGATGATGTGTGTCTGTTCCCGAAGCCAGCGGTCGCGATCCCTTCGACTCTCCTGTCCGATACCTCATCTTGAGAATCAGAGACTTGTCGCTTGCGCTTGCGGTACGTCTGTACCATGGAGGCAGTTTCGATGATGTGTGTCTGTTCCCGAAGCCAGCGGTCGCGATCCCTTCGACTCTCCTGTCCGATACCTAGCAGTGCCTTCTCCAGGGCATCCAATTTCTGCTGGACGGCCGACGACCTTTCGTCTACCGTTCCGGCTAGGAGAGACGTCTCAAAGATCACTCGGAAGCGATCGATGAATGCCTGTGAAATGCAAGATGCAAGTGAATAAAAGAAAATGAAGAAGACTAAAGAGGCTGTTCTTGCAATGATTCATGACTTTCACTAGACCTGGGTGAGCATGCTGCCGATGTTGGCAACCTCTTGATGATATAAGTCTTGCAGGTGCACACCAAAATCATAAAAATGGGGACCGAGTTTGTGCAAGTTCACAATGGATGCATCAGCTGCCATGACATCCCTGTGAGATCAAGCAGAGGAATAAGTTATTTCCAAGTAGACTTAGTATTACCCGTAAAGTAGTTTTTTATAAAAAACATCCAATTCATGATGTACAATTATGTCTAAGACACTCCTGGAAAACTTTTTTCATATGGATAACAAGACAGTTGACTTTCTCGACATAACAACTATTCTAGTAGGCAATGACAGTAAGAATAACCTATGAACTTTTATCAAGTTTTTCATCAAAGGATCTATAAAAACACATGCACAGGATGGGACTGGTTGTAGTTAAGTTTAATGTAGAAACAGGTTACTTTTGGTCTACCTTAAGTTTGAAATAAGCTAACTGCATGTAAAGGAATAACATCCAGACTTCATTTACACGGACACCTTGGGAGTTGTCTTCGTCAACCGAAAACCACAAGACCGTTAAGGGAAGGTCGGAAATTTAGAGTATCTAGGTAAAGACGTTTCGTACATGTGATGTTTCCCCTCGTTCCAGTCCTTTCACTACTGGGTTTATGAAATGCCACACATGGCATCCACACACACATAGTCCACTTACTCCATGCCCTAGCCATGGGATTTACCCTTACTGTGCTTTTATGTACCCTTCTCTTCCTTGTTCTCACTACTGAGGGAAGGACCATAATGTAAAAAGGTTAGTCCTGCCCACTCTTGATGCCTCCCATGTTCTCAAGCTTGACATGATGACTTGGGGGAAATAAAGCAGAAAAATGTATAATACTGATCTTCAATAGTTCTTGCAACAGTTTTCAAGTAGTGGGAATTTGTCTGTTGAACTTAATGGGACTTCAGCTGCTGATTGTCTTATTGCTAAAGAGTCATCTCTAACCTGTAGCTTTCCTTGTAGGCCTTTGGGAGGTCAACAGATACAATAGGCCGCCTCCGATTGGTCAGGGCTTGAGCCATCCAGAATGGAAGGTCTAACTTGGTCCCAGGTTTCAAGTCTGGTAGGTGGCTGGTTGCGTTCAAGAAACCTGGAAAAACAGGGCAAAAAGGAAATGCATCAAAACTTGGCAAACAAATAGTCTTCTAGTCTGAACGAGAAGCAATATCTAAGTAGGAAACTTTTTCTGAAGCTAAGACAAGATTGAGGAGAAACATTCTACTTAGCATACTATGAAACCAACATTGGAGTTTCCAGGTGTTTCATTTTTGATCTCACATTGAAAGCACTACAAATTGTTTCTCCTGAAAATTATGCATCTTGGCCTTCTAAATCAAAATAAATTCAGAGTGAAGTTAAGGAATGTAACTTTATGCCAGTACTGTTCAAATGACTTGGCTCCTTTTATGTCATTAGGGCTGTTTTTCATGCTATGTCTTCTCATGGTATTCTTCATTGTGTAGTGTCTTCAGGATGAAGGTAAGATGGCATGGCCTGATTATGATGGTGTGTTGAGATTATAATGATGGAGAGGAAAGGAAAATAAAGGTAATTGTCCACGAAATCATGGACTCTTGTCGACTCTATTCCCTCTTGGCTTCTTTTAATAATTCAATTTTAATGCAGTAAAGTTTCCTTTCACAGATATGGCAATATGACACGCACAATCATGAGCATTGCAATAAGTAGGTAACCAAAGGCAGACTTTCTGGGGGGGGGGGGGGGGAAAAGGGACAAACCTGTAGAGCATTGCTGAAACATGGAGAATAGGAAATTGGTGGGAACATTTTAAATCTGCATTGACCAAAATATAAAAAAAGAACAAAAATATAAATAGAACCATCATTATCTTTGAACAAATGAATTAAATAAAGCAATCCTACATCAACACTTTCACAGCCAAACTGATTTTACTGTATCATTCTGGCATGCCGTGTCAGTCAAGAAAGACCAACACTGTTGGAAGTGTTAATACAAACCAACGGAAACGAAAACGAAAGCCCGATTTCCTGATTGGCAAAAATGAGCAGAGACATCCACCTTAAGTGTTCACCCACCAAGTCGAAGGCAGGGGAGCTCAAACTTGCACTGAACCCTTCGTTCAGTTGCAAGGATGTCATGCAAGGAAAGATAT